GCATGGTCCTAAAGCACACCATTGCCTCGTTTTGTATCACATTCCAATGATACTAGATGGCAGTGTTGCAACGTCCATGGGAGCTACACAAATAACCAGGGGCACAACTTTGACTGGGTACTGGGGACGGGGGATGGGGGACAGGGGGGACAAAAATGCAATTTCAGAATGTGGGGGGACATGTCCCCCCCCGTCCCCAGTCAAAGTTGTACCCCTGGTTATTTGTGTAGCTCCCATGGACGTTGCAACACTGCCATCTAGTATAAATAGTATAAACCAACTAAACTTCTACAAAATGTAAAATGTCAGCAAAGCACAATGGAAATAACACACATTCAGTGCATTCGGAAAGTATTCAGACCCCTTCCCTTTTTCAACATTTTGTTATGTTACAGACTTATTCTAAAATGGATTTAATACTTTTTTCCCTCATCAATCTACACACAATACCCCATAATGACAAAGCGAAAAAGGTTTAAAAAAACCCAGAAATACCTTATTTACATAAGTATTCAGACCCTTTGCTATAAGAATCGAAATCCTGTTTCCATTGATCATCCTTGAGATGTTTCTACAACTTGATTTGGAAAGGCACACACCTGTCTATATAAGGTCCCACAGTTGACAGCGCATATCAGAACAAAAACCAAGCTATGAGGTGGAAGGAATTGTCCTTAGAGCTCCTAGACAGGATTGTGTCGAGGCACAGATCTGAGCACAGTGGCCTCCATCATTCTTAAATGTAATACGTTTGGAACCACTAAGACTCCTCCTAGAGCTGGCCGCCCGGCCAAACTGAGCAATCGGGGATGAAAGGCCTTGGTCAGGGAGGTGACCAAGAACCCGATGGTCACTCTGACAGAGCTCCAGAGTTCCTCTGTGGAGATGGGAGAACCTTTCAGAAGGACAACCATCTCTGCAGCACTCCACCAATCAGGCCTTAATGGTAGAGTGGCCAAACGGAAGCCACTCCTCAGTAAAAGGCACATGACAGCCCGCTTGGAGTTTGCCAAAAGGCACCTAAAGGACTCTCAGACCATGAGAAACAAGATTCTCTAGTCTGATGAAACCAAGATTGAACTCTTTGGCCTGAATGCCAAGCGTCACATCTGGAGGAAACCTGGCACCATCCCTATGGTGAAGCATGGTGGTGGCAGCATCATGCTGTGGGGATGTTTTTCAGCGGCAGGGACTGGGAGACTAGTCAGGATCAAGGGAAAGACAAATGGAGCAAAGTGCAGAGATCCTTGATGAAAACCTGCTCCAGAGCGCTCAGGACCTCAGACTGGGGCGAAGGTTCACCTTCCAACAGGACAACGACCCTAAGCACACAGCCAAGACAACGCAGGAGTGGCTTCAAGACAAGTCTCTGAATGTCCTTGAGTGGCCCAGCCAGAGCCTGGACTTGAACCAGATCAAACATCTCTGGAGAGACCTGAAAATAGCTGTGAAGTGACGCTCCCCATCCAACCTGACAGAGCTTGAGAAGATCTGCAGAGAAGATTGGAAGAAACTTCCCAAATACAGGTTTGACAAGCTTGTAGCGTCATACCCAAGAAGACTTGAGATGGTAATCGCTGCCAAAGGTGCTTCAACAAATAACTTAGTAAAGGGTCTGAATACTTATGTAAATGTTACATTTACAAAAAACAGTTTTTGCTTTGTCATTATGGGGTATTGTGTGTAGATGAATGAGGGGGGGGGACAATTAAATCAATTTTAGAATAGGGGTGTAAAGTAACAAAATGTGGAAAAAGTCAAGAGGTCTGAATACTTTTGGAATGCACTGTACCTCAGAACATTGCTTCTCTACAAGATTTGCATTTTCATTAGTTGGCCTGGTCTTCAGTCTGCAACCAGCTTCTGTACATTGCCCCAGTGTTGACAGCATCCATTGTGGGTTCTCCAAAATCAGAAGAGAGACAATTCCCCTATTGTGAACACATTATATAGTTTAGGGAATAGGATTCTGGTCAAATTGTTTTAATTATATTTGGAATAGGGTGCCATTTGGGACATAAAACTTTGTATCGAAGCAGATCACAGTGGTAAAGTAGTCTGTCTAGTTTGTTGTAGACAGTAGCTAATGCTATGGTCATTCCAACAGTGCCCAATAAACTAAAACACTGTACAACATTCATGAGCCTGCTGTAACAAACAATGTGAACGTTCTATGAAGCGGATGAGTCTCATAATGAGACCGATTCTGATGACTATGCACTGGTCTGACATCTGGTGTAGAAATCCAGTACTTTACCTGTGCATGTCTATCGTGCCATACACTGCCTGTTCTTCAGTTAATCATGCTAAAGGAATTTAGCCTGCCAAACTTAAGACTTTCAATAAAGGCCACAATTAGCATGTGGACATTCACTTTTCTTACCACTCTAGCCATCAGAAGATTACTATAATAGTCTACATCTATTATGATATTCTTGTCCCAAACCTATGAAATGCCAGTGGTGGAAAAAGTACCCAATTGTCATACTTGAGTAAAAGTATAGATACCTTCATAGAAAGTTACTCAAGTAAAAGTGAAAGTCACCCAGTAGAATACTACTTTAGTAAGTCTAAAAGTATTTGGTTCTAAATATACTTAAGTATCTAAAGTAAAAGTATAAAACATTTCAAATTCCTTATATTAAGCAAAGCAGACAGCACCATTTTCTTGTTTTTAAAATGTAAGGATAGCCAGAAGTACACTCCAACATTCAGACAATTTACAAACGATGCATTAGTGAGTCCACCAGATCAGAGGCAGTAGGGATGACCAGGGATGTTCTCTTGATAAGTGCGTGAATTTGACCATTTTCCTGTCCTGCTAAGCATTCAACATATAAGTACTTTTGTGGGCGTCAGGGAAAATGTATGGAGTAAAAAGTACATTATTTTCTTTAAGAATGTAGTGAAGTACAAGTAGTCAAAAACGTAAATATTAAAGTACAGATACCCAAAAAAACGACTAAAGTAATTTACAGCACTGGTAAACTAATACTGCATCAGTAACAATGGCAGGTTCTTCACCTGGGCCCGGCTTTCCTCAAGAATTTTAAGGCTAAATTAATCGTTAGAACCTTCATAGGAGCATAATTCAATCTATGAGCGTTTTCCCCAAAAACATCGTAAGTAGAGTTGCACTTGAAAACGCTCGTTATTTACCTTAACTCGTAGAACAGCTAAGTGCGTCGTTAGTTGATTTTTTGCCCTTCCGCGTGATTTTATACACTGAAGATCTCAGCTAAACACATAATCAAGTTGTGTATCTGTCTCTCTGTTACCACCAATAACTTGGTAACTAAATTGAGTACAAATATAAATGTGCCAATGTCTTTGCAATTGAACAAGCGAAGGATATATATTTAAAATGAAAACCGAGATTACTGCATGAAAACGAATACAGTAGACCTATATATTTAAATAATATTGATATTATTAATATGTTCAGCCAATTGAGTTAATTTGTAGGCTACACGGGTCTGTAATTTTTTGCCTCAATACATTTCATATGTAACGTGCGCAATGTGCCAAATTTAATAGCATTATAGGGTAAGCATTAGAATAAGCAGCCTCAATATTTGCAGCCATTAGGTGATCTTTCTTGTAGCTGATCCGTCGTCAGAATTGTGGAATAATTATAATTTTAAGGTACGATGTGAATGCAGAAAGCTGATCAGAGCAGCGCTGCCTTTCTTTCAATCCTATCAGTATCAACACATGCTCCAACGAGGCACTTAGCGAATATTATTTCTGCGTGTTGTTTTGTGAAACGCATAGGTAACATGCAGCTTTAACTCATAAATCCAAATTCCATTGCTATCGGGAAACCAGGCCCAGGTCAATTTCAGGATCAGCATCACGGTGTGCAGTTTACGCTTTAATCAGCACCTCTATAAAAAAAATGGGGGTGCGCTTCAGCTCATGCTTTTTTACTCTACTGAACAAAAATATAAAGTGTTGCATGAAACATGAGCTGAAATAAAAGTTCCCAGAAATGTTCCATTAGCACAAAAAGCTTATTTCTCTCAAATTTGTTTACATCCCTGTTAGTGAGCATTTCTCCTTTACCAAGATAATCCATCCACCTGACAGGTGTGGCATATCAAGAAGCGGATTAAACAGCATTACTATTACACAGGTGCACCTTGTGCTGGGGACACAGCGCCACAAGTTTTGAGTGTGCGCAATTGGCATGCTGACTGCAAGAATGTGTACTAGAGCAGTTGTCCGAATATTCAATGTTTGGGGCCTCCCGAGCTGCGCAGTGGTCTAAGGCACTGCATCGCAGTGCTTGAGGCGTCACTACAAACCCCGGTTCGATCCTGGGCTGTGTTACAGCCGGCCGTGACACCCATGAGGCGGTGCACAATTGGACCAGTGTCCTCTGGGTTCGGGGAAGGTTTGGCCGGCTGGGATTTCCTTGTCCCATCATGCTCTACCAACTCCTTGTGGTGGGCCGGGTGCCTGCAAGCTGACTTCAGTCGCCAGCTGGACGGTGATTCCGCCGACACATTGGTGCGGCTGGCTTCGGGTTAAGCGAGCAGTGTGTCAAGAATCAGTGCTGCTTGGCAGGGTCGTGTTTCGGAGGACGCATGGCCGTTGCCTCTCCTGAGTCCGTACGGGAGGTTGAGCGATGGGACAAGACTAACTACCAATTGGAGAGAAAGGGGGGAAAAGTACATTTCTCTACCATAAGACACCCCGTCATTTTAGAAAATATTTTAGTACGTCTAACCGGCATCACAACTGCAGACCAAGTGTAACCACACCAGTCCAGGACCTCCACATCCGGCTTCACCTGCAGGATCATCGGAGACCAGCCACACAGACAGCTGATTAAATTGAGGATAATTTGCCTGTTTGAAAGCCCTTGTGGGGAAAAATGTATTCTGGTTGGCTGGGCCTGGCTCCCAAGTGGGTGGGCCTATGCCCTCCCAGACCCACTCACAGCTGCTTCCCTGCCCAGTCATGTGAAATCCATAGATTAGGGCCAAATCAAATTTTTCAATTGACTGATTTCCTTATACGAACAAACAAAAATGTTTGCCTTTATATTTTACTATAAATGAATGCATCTTTCCTTGAGGTAAGTACGAGTCTTTATAAAAAAATAAAAAGATTGGATAGGTGTAAGCAACATCACCACCCTAGTAGTCACCAATTGAGATCTGACATAATTTCTGGAGTATTGGAACTGCACCTTTGATTTGACTACACCACAGACACCATGTAATTTCTTATTTTTAGGGCCAGTTTTACATACAATTAAGCCTAGTCCTGGACTAAAGAGTATCCTCATTTGAGAATCTTCATTGAAAGCGTTCCTAAATCCAGGACTAGGTTTAATCTGTCTGGGAACCCAGCCTGTAGAATTAATCCCTAGTAATTTAAAATCAGCATACATTCACTAATGCCTTGTTCCAATTAAGAGCCACAAAGCATTTACATATTTACTGTAGCGGTGCAACATAACCATAGACAAATGGTTTTCCTCTTTTTTATTACAATTCACTGTACACAAAGATGGTCCTCTACTTGAGCTCCTTCACAGCCAGACCTGAAGAGAGAAATGAGAGATGGTTAAAAACTACATGTGCATTGTGTCCATCCACACTGCACACTTTCACTGTTCAAGTTACAAATTAACTATGAACATGATTAGAAATACTAGTGTTCGGGGCTCAGGAAAGAGTAAAATGCTCAAACTAAGCTTGGTATTCAGATTTTAGTGTGTTTTTATCAGAATTCCCCCCCCCCCCCCCCAAAAAATCAATCTTTCAGTTTTGGCCACCAAGATTGACAGCTCAAAACATTTAGGCATACACATGTCAGTGAACCGGTGGAACTCAATTTCTGATAGTCGAAACCAAGCACTAGGCCCATCCTTATTCTAGCAAGCGTGTAAATGCACCACAAGCACCAAGTAGCATGTAGTGTTTGGACAACTTGCATGGCAACCGATGAGATTACTTCTTAACCACATTCAATTTGTAACCACTATGCATTGACAAGACATCAACAACTTTAGAACGGACATTGCCACTACTTCTTTGGGATTCAAGGTCTTGTGAGATGTACCTATAAAACGCTAGATGTATCTGTATTTCCAACCCAATACAGTTAACCACAACCTGCCACATTTCATGTGATAAAAGCTGAGAATCTTACCTGGGGGCAGGGACTGCTTCAGCTTCTCGGCCTTCTCCTTGTCTGTGATGACGAGGGTGTACAGGTACCTGCTGCAACGCACCTTGAACTTGACATTGTCCTTGTTCTTCTTGATCTTCACGGCTGTCGGACAAGTAATGATACAAATTAATCTAAACATTCTGGTTGTTTCAACATCATGGTTTGCAGTTGGAATTAATGCAAAATACTGTGGGTGCAGAAATCAAATTAGTCACATCCTTCATAAACAGTGAAATGCTTACTTAAATTATTATAAATACCATAAGCTTTAGTCCACAAGTGAGCAACAATGCAATACTTACACTTGGCATCCTTCCTCCTTGCTGTAAGCAGGAAATCTTTTATTTCTTCGATTTTGCGTGGCTGAAATAAAAACAGGGAAAGAATAGGTAGACAGCAGGTACACCATTTTCTGCAACAACTTATCACATTTTAGTCATTTAGCAGATGCTCTTATCCAGAGCGACTTACATTTAGTGAGTGCATACATTTTTTATACACAACCAGAGGTAACCTCAATGTAAAGAACATAACATGGCATGATAGCTAGCTATGTTAGCAATGTGGTTAACTAGCCATGGGGAGAATAACTAAGTTAGCAAACTAAGTAAAAGTAATATGAAGATTGTCAGTGGACCGGTGGAACTAAAGATTCTGGTTATATCGAAACGTAGCACTAGGTCCATCCTTATTCTGGCAAGCGTGTAAATGCATCACAAGCACGAGAGCCTGTGATGTTTGGACAACTTGCGAAGACATGCTCTGCTGGCTAGCGAAGTTTAACATTGGCTAGTTTTACTAACTAGAACATGGCTGACAGTCAGGTATGCCTTTCACTGCAATTTATTACCCCTGGATGTGTTGACATTTCAGTTCACGTTAACGAAACACACATTACACCTCCTCAGTTTGTTAGCTAGTAGTGTACCGGCGGTAGCCAACGTTAGCACATTGTTAGGCCGCACCGGCTGTGGCCTGTACAAGCTATTAGCCTACTCGGCTAGCTACCATAGTTAGCTGCCAACCCGGCAAAGATAAGGTAACGTTATGCCCATTTTCGTTTATCCACACAACTAGCTTATTGAACATTTTTGTTGATCGTGCAATTATAGATATATGAATGTAGTGAAAACGGTCCTCACCATCTTGCCGTGTCTGCGGACTGAAGCCTGGAAGACGGGAGAAACACAGGAGTCAGTTTACAGATATTTTCAGTCGAACAAAAACCAATGGAAAACAAATAACTGTCTAATTATGTGGACGAATGTTTCTAATATCATTGTTTAATGATTTCGTGGACGTATTTTCCAGTTAGAAGAAGGATGAATAATGATTTTACAGTCCATACTGTATGGAAAATGTGCAACTTACACAGCCTGCAAGAGAGGGGATGAAGAGGATGGAACTTCCGCTGACGCAAGCTTTATAGTCAAGCTACGGCGACTAATGGAGGACAAATGAAATACGGACGACTTTCTACAAAGATTATGGATATAATGACAAGATACATGTCTTTCCGCACTAACAATGGGAGTTGTCCACAAAGCGACACGGCGGGCTGTCGCCTATCCTTTCTTTGGATTGGTGGATACCTCTTATTATTGTAATATTTTTCTGAATATTTGATGAGTTTTTTCCTCACGTTCCCAGTTGTCTTGAACTCACTGAAGTCTGAGATTTCCCAGTTCTGAGTTTCTAGTTGTTTTGTATGGAGGACTAAAAGTGCCACAATTAAATAAATAAATGCACCATTAAATAATTACTTAAATGTGTCATTAATTAATTAAAATTAGAATTAAATACATAAATGTGTAATTAAATGTATCATTAATTAATTCAAATACCGATTCATTTTATGTAAAATACATATATAATTATTTCACTATTTACATTTACATTTCATGATCCTGCATTGCAGTGATTCATGAATTACTTAAAACTGTCAAACTGACCCATCAAAGTCAGTGGGCGGGGCTAACGCGAATCTAGTCTGATCCATTGCTTTGGTCTGAAGTAGAGTAGGCCAACCTGGATAGAGACAATGGAGGATCTCCGTGAACTTTCCAGGGAGTTGGTTAGAGACATTTTAAACTTAGCAGAGGATGTAGAAGCAGGACCTGCTGACATTATCCGGAATTGATTTGTCTTGGCTTGATGCAGAGGGTAACCAATCAGGCGTTAGGTTCCGCCTACCAACTTTTGATGGGTCAGTTTGACAGTTTTAAGTAATTCAGGAAGCACTCCAACGCAGGACCATGAAATGTAAATGTAAATAGTGAAATTATTATATATGTATTTTACATAAAATGAATCGGTATTTGAATTAATTAATGATACATTTAATTACACATTTATGTATTTAATTCTAATTTTAATTAATTAATGACACATTTAAGTAATTATTTAATGGTGTATTTATTTATTTAATTGTGGCACTTTTAGTCCTCCATAGTTTTGAACATGGCAAAAGTAATGCTGGATTGACAGCATGGCCAATGTATTCAACCTTTTCTGGCCCATGGTGTTGCGTGTGAATGTTTATCCTTTTAAGCTTGGAAAAGATACTCTTAAACCCAGACATAGACCACACACCCTCTCCACCGAATAGCAGGCAGGGGAAGCAAAATAGTGATTGCTTTGCAACACATGCAGCATGCAGTTAGCCACTGCTTCCTTCCAAACCACTCATTGTTGAATTTGCGATTTCCGACTTGTTGTGTAATGTTTATGTCCAATGGCCGATGAGCAATGATACGTTTTATCTATAATTTATCTTCATATGACAAGGGTAGAAAAGGATTTGCCAGTAGATTGTCAATGTGATTCATGATGAGGACTGCTTGCTAGCTAATATTTTGAAAGTATGATGTTGACATGATCAGTCCAATCAAAGCTATGGTAGATATAACGTGATTTAACGTAATTGTATCCGTGGCCAATGACCTTGAGCCTTCTTGGATGGGCACTTCTAATGTAAAGCTATGGCAGCACCCAAGGGGGCTTGAACTTTCTAACTCTCCTGTAGATTGTGTGGGGATGTAGTGTCCCCATGAGTGACAGAACACTGAGCCAATCACAGCGCAACTAGATTACCAACCCCTACTCTCTGTATTTTCCGCTGGCTACCCCTGCACCACAGAAAGCACTGAGCTAGGCTGAAACGCCTTCATTTTGGAGCTGGCATACTCAAGAAAGCAAAAAAGAGACCATGTTTGTATGCCTTGAATGAGGGGTCGCCACTGCTCGTTATGTTTCTTACCATCATCACTGTGTCTGTTGCATTTGTGGTAATTCTGGCAGTAGTAATGGTCACATACCACCAGGTGGTGATGCGGAATAATGAAGCCAGGAGAAGGAGAAGGCAGGCAGCTGGTCGGAGAGCGTTGTTCAGGCGGTGTTCTCCTCGACCACATCGCAAATGTAGAGAAATCCCCGATCACACTTGTAAGCGATGTCATGGCGTCATTGGCTATCTAAACTCATTTGAAGAAACAAGTCATTGGGTCTAACGGTCGTCTCGCGCCGAACAGCTCATGTGCAGACAGTCTGTCCAAATATAGCACTGCTCTGCCTTCTTAACAGCACTATCAACAAGGCAGGTTCTACAGGCCCTAGTTTTGTCACACCTGAACTACTGTTCAGTCATGTGGTCAGGTTCCATAAAGAGGGATTTAGGAAAATTGCAATTGGCTCAGAACAGGGCAGCATGGCTGGCCCTTGGATGTACACAGAGAGCTAACATTAATAATATGCAGGTCAATCTCTCCTGGCTGAAAGTGGAGGAGAGATTGACTTCATCACAACTTGTATTTGTGAGAGGTATTGACATGTTAAAGGCACCGAGGACACCCATAAATACCCCAACAGAGGTCTCTTCACAGTCCCCAAATCTAGAACAGACTACGGGAGGTGCACAGTACTACATAGAGCCATTACTACATGGGGATCCATAATAAATACAAATATAAATATTTTTAGGTGAGGGAGCAAATAAAAGTCATAATTTCCCCAATCAACGTTTGTACCGACAGATGTATCCATAGCCCCCTCAAACTCAACTCTGGACCTCGAAGCCAGTTCCACTGCGTTTTGTCATTGTTCCTCACTAATGAGGGACTGATGTAGACCTGGGCCACCAGGTGTGTGCAATTCATTATCAGGTAGAACAGAAAACCAGCAGGCTCCGGACCTCGTAGGGTAAGAGTTGAATACCCCTGCTATAGCCTATCATTATATACACTGAACCAAAATGTAAATGCAACATGCAACAACTTAAAAGATTTTACTGAGTTACAGTTCATATAAGGAAATCACTCAATTGAAATAAATTCATTAGGCCCTAATCTATGGATTTCACATGACTGGGAATACAGATCTGTATCTGTTGGTCACAGATACCTTTAAAAAAAAGTAGTGGTGTGGATAAGATGGCACATCTCCTTCGCATAGAGTTGATCAGACTGTTGATTGTGTCCTGTGGAATGTTGTCCCACTCCTCTTCAATGGCTGTGCGAAGTTGCTTGATATTGGCGGGAACTGGAACACACTGTTGTAAACCTCGATCCAGAGCATCCCAAACACGCTCAATGGGTGACATGTTTGGTGAGTATGCAGGCCATGGAAAAACTGGACATTTTCAGCTTCACAGGAATTGTGTACAGATCATTGCGACATGGGGCCGTGCATTATCATGCTGAAATATGAGGTGATGGCGGCGGATGAATGGTACAACAATGGGCCTCAGGATCTCTGTGCATTCAAATTGCCATCGATGAAATGCAGTTGTGTTCATTGTCCGTAGCTTATGCCTGCCCATAGCATAACCCCACCGCCACCATGGGGCACTATGTTCACAACGTTGACATCAGCAAACCTCTGCCCGGTACAGTTGAAACCAGGATTAATCTGTGAAGAGCACACTTCTCCAGCGTGCCAGTGGCCATGAAGGTGAGCATTTACCCACTGAAGTCGGTTACGACGCCGAACTGCAGTCAGGTCAAGACCCTGGTGAGGACGACGAGCACGTACAGTTGAAGTCAGAAGTTTACATACACTTAGGTTGGAGTCATTAAAACTAGTTTTTCAACCACTCCACAAATTTCTTGTTAACAAACTATAGTTTTGGCAAGTCGGATAGGACATCTACTTTGTGCAAGACACAAGTAATTTTTCCAACAATTGTTTACAGACAGATTATTTCACTTATAATTCACTGTATCACAATTCCAGTGGGTCAGAAGTTTACATACACTATGTTGACTGTGCCTTTAAACAGCTTGGAAAATTCCAGAAAATGATGTCATGGCTTTAGAAGCTTCTGATAGGCTAATTGACATAATTTGAGTCAATTGGAGGTGTACCTGTGGATGTATTTCAAGGTCTACCTTCAAACTCAGTGCCTCTTTGCTTGACATCATGGGAAAATCAAAATAAATCAGCCAAGACCTCAGAAAAACAATTGTAGACCTCCACAAGTCTGGTTCATCAGTGGGAGCAATTTCCAAAAACCTGAAGGTACCACTTTCATCTGTACAAACAATAGTACGCAAGTTTAAACACCATGGGACCACGCAGCCGTCATACCGCTCAGGAAGGAGACGCGTTCTGTCTCCTAGAGATGAAAGTACTTTGGTGCAAAAAGTGCAAATCAATCCCAGAACAACAGCAAAGGACCTTGTGAAGATGCTGGAGGAAATAGGTACAAAAGTATCTATATCCACAGTAAAACAAGTCCTACAGTGGGGAAAAAAAGTATTTAGTCAGCCACCAATTGTGCAAGTTCTCCCACTTAAAAATATGAGAGAGGCCTGTAATTTTCATCATAGGTACACGTCAACTATGACAGACAAATGAGGAAAAAAAATCCAGAAAATCACATTGTAGGATTTTTTATGAATTTATTTGCAAATTATGGTGGAAAATAAGTATTTTGTCAATAACAAAAGTTTCTCAATACTTTGTTATATACCCTTTGTTGGCAATGACACAGGTCAAACGTTTTCTGTAAGTCTTCACAAGGTTTTCACACACTGTTGCTTGTATTTTGGCCCATTCCTCCATGCAGATCTCCTCTAGAGCAGTGATGTTTTGGGGCTGTCGCTGGGCAACACAGACTTTCAACTCCCTCCAAAGATTTTCTATGGGGTTGAGATCTGGAGACTGGCTAGGCCACTCCAGGACCTTAAAATGCTTCTTACGAAGCCACTCCTTCGTTGCCCGGGCGGTGTGTTTGGGATCATTGTCATGCTGAAAGACCCAGCCACGTTTCATCTTCAATGCCCTTGCTGATGGAAGGTTTTCACTCAAAATCTCACGATACATGGCCCCATTCATTCTTTCCTTTACACGGATCAGTCGTCCTGGTCCCTTTGCAGAAAAACAGCCCCAAAGCATGATGTTTCCAACCCCATCCTTCACAGTAGGTATGGTGTTCT